CAGATTGTCTGTTTAAATGTTTTAGCGTGGGATTGAGTTGCCCTTTTAAAGAGATTGCATTAGCTGTGAGCAGTTCTATCACCTTCAGTTTGAAGTCTGTACATACCAAGTTGTGGCAAAAAACTAGTCTCTCCACCTGTACACAAGAACCTCTCAGTGATCAGTCATCAGTCAGTGAGCAAGTGACCATGATTTGGCGTCAGTCCCCCTCTCACCCCCACACCACGCTGCATGATCTCTGATTGGTACCATCCAGTGTAGTGTAGTGATAACATTGGGAACATGACATGTAGGAGCGGGCTAACCTTTTATGCGGCACCTTATCAAATGGCTTCTGGAAGTCCAAATGGACCACATCCACTGATTCACCCTTATCTAGTTTACTGGAAATATCCTCAAAAAACTCATGAGATTTGTCAAACATGACTTCCCTTTTGTAAAGCCATGTTGACTTGGCCTAATTATATTGTACTCCCCTAAATACCACTACCACATCCTTAATCAATGATTCTAAAATTTTTCCTATCACTGATGTGAGACTAACTGGCCTACAGTTCCCCATCTTTTCCTTTCCACCTTTTTTAAATAGTGGTGTGACATTTGTGATCTTCCAATCCATGGGAAACCTCGGCATTTTGGTAAATATGGTCTTTCTTTCTCTAGGGGACATGCGGTTTAATGCTCGTAACCTCCTCACTGCAGTCAGCTTTCAGAATAAGGTCTTCTCGTCTAGCACATAGATTAGCCACCACATTTTACCACATAGATTGTACCACACCGAAACAGGCCATTTGTCCCAGCTAGTCTGCCATTATTTATACTCCACATAAGCCTCCAACCCTTTTAATCCCCTCCCTCAGTTCCATTGCCTTAATATATGAATTTGGTTTTGTTATCAGTAATTCTACTCAGGTGGAGTTAAATAGCAAAGTGATTTTTTATACCCGTTAATGCCCTACCTCTGTCCTCACTCCCTCACCACTGATGGACTGCAGCCCATAGTTTGTGAACTACTACTACAACAACTACTACTACTTGGATTTATATACGCCTACACGCCGGATGGCGTCTCAGAGCTGCGAGGATCCTTTGGACTGTTTGTTATTACTCTGGGCTTCACCAGAATCTGTCGCACCTAGAAATCTATCCACTTCCTGGCACCTCTGAACTCTGCCATCTCATCTCCTACCTCACTCCTCCCGTTACCCCTTTCTGCTCAGCTAACTCAGACTCTCTGCACATCCCCTTCCCCCTCCACACCACGACTGGTGACCACCCCTTTAGTTCCTACGTCTCTAACCTTCAGAACTACAACTCTCTGTCTCCCTCCCTCTTTCTTTCCTGCCTCAAACCCACACCTCTCTCCCCCCCCTTGTCCTCTCCGTTGCTTGATTTACAGCCCTGACCCCATAAATCGCTTTATTTGAACGTGCTGTTTTATTGATTTAATTGATAAATTGCTAATTGTACTTTGGACCCACTCCCCAATGTGAATGCAGAATCATTGATTGCGTGATGTAGTGAGACAGCTGGAGGGGCTGAGCCCTGGACTTGTATTCAGTGGCTTCACAGTGAGCCTTGTGTTCATGGTTAAAGGTAAACGTGGCCTGAGTTCTTCGGCTCCTCCCACTTGTACCAGCACAGCCACGGGCTGCCAGCTGTTTGACACTGGTGTGATTCGTTTGTTTAAAAAAAAATCTGCCTCATCACAATCGCGGGAGCGAGCGCGACGAATACAAATATTGAAGTCTCATATCTTGAAGCCAGCACGTTGAATTGTTTTGAAGTGTTAGTGGCTGATCTGTGTCAGCAGCATCCTGCAAACCGCTTTGCGTCCTGCAAATGCCGCTGTAAACGAGCCATATTGCAAACTCGTGCATATGTGTAGATGGGCATTATAGGTTCTCTTCATTGTATAATTAACACATAATTATTTTAATTGGTTAACTATCAAAACCAGCAGATGGAATACATGCAGGGCTTCCTCTGGACTGCAATAGACTGCTGGCCTGCATTGTGCAAGGTCAGCATTCGCCTCCCATCGATTTCTTCCTGTCTCTAAAACATTCAGTCCTCAATGTTGTGCTTTGTATTACGATGCTGAGGTGACTTTGGCAAAAACGGTTTGAGATCATTTCCAATCACTTCCAGTGTGACTGAGTATGGTGTTTCTGTTTGTTTATTCGGAGCTCAGCGAGCTCCTCTCACACGTTGATCATGCTGCTAAAAATGTAAGCGAGCAGATAGCTTCCGTCACCCCAGCAGGTTGCACCTCAGTTTTTGCAGCAGAGACTGGTAGCTTATTGCCATGTAAATTAAACTCCAAGTTCTCACTGCTGTAACAGAGATTTACAGTGGGTCTGAAACTGAATTTCAAGCATATTATAATCACTCTGCAGTCAGCCTGGAAATCAGCTACTTTTATAATTGGTTGTTTGAAATATAATGAATGCAACCTGCTTCCTTTCTCACTTTCATCCGTCCCCCAGTGTAGGAAAAATCTTGCGAAAGTGTTTCACATCTCGCTGGTGAATTGACTTTGAATTCAACTTAGTTCCAAAGTTCTGAGCTTTTGTCTTCTTACAAACGATGATTATCAATAGAAGGGGTGGTATGATTTCAGGGAAATCACTGAACACTGTTTCTTAACATTTAGAGTTCCTCTTACTTGCCTGAAATGCTGTTTAAGAGGTAAACTAGTTCCATATCCCTTCCCTGGTATTCTCGAATCGTACCCCAAATGCTGTTCCTACAGTTCTGCAATGCTATTCTATTAGGAATAATTTGGATGTATTGTAATTCTGCTCCTGTTGAGTTTCTGTGTACTTGCAAATACCAACAATCTGCGTTAATGAACTCATTAAAAAAGATGTCTTTTTCCTTATGGTACAATTGTCCTGACTGCTGATGGCACGGGAGCATAATTTACAATAAAATGCCACAATTCACTGTTTAAAGCTTCCTGGATGCTTTTTGTTGAGGTGCAAGGTGTGGGAGGAGGTAAAGCTTGATGCTCAGAGGTAACACTTGAGGCAAGTCTGGAACAGATATTGATTCTGTTGACAACTTTGAGTGGATTATAACTGCACAGTTCTGGAGGGATTGTGTGCGAGACGATTAGACTTCATTACTCTATCATCTCTGAGATGGATAACTATAGTTCCAGTTCTGTTACCGACCTTTAGGCCTGTTCAACATTGCACTGTTATTGGTCTTCTCCAGTCACATAAATACACTGCTCTGCCCTCTGAAGCCCCACATCAGCACCTTAAAGTTGTATAGTCTAAGCTGACACTACAGTGCAATGCTGGGGTTGTGCTGCAGTGTCGGTGGCATGGCATTATTCAAACAGAGTTCTCTCTATGAGCTTTATGATCTTCTCTCCATGCTGTCATGGTCAACCATCTTCTGGGTACAATTGATTCTGGCTCTTTGTGGGATGTTGCTGTAAGCAAATTAGCTACCTACAAAACGCAGTCATCACACGTTAGGAAATTGTGTGAAGCACTTTTAGAATTTCGGTGATATGATAAACTGCCATAGCAAATGTGGGTAATATGGCTCAACCTTGGGGATTCGGCTAGTAATATTTTTAACCCTAATCCTCGCTTTATACTGTGTTAGTTTTTTTGATCTAAGGTCTCAAAGTGATCTCTTTCAGCCTCATGTTTCTTTAAAATTCTAGATTATTAATGTACCCAGAAGGTAAAATTTTGCAACATTAATGTGCTGTTGACGATCGGTCTTAATCACAGCAAGAAAGTTGAGGCTTTTTAAAACCCATTTGTGAACACTCTTCAGATGGCTTGCTGCTTGTGACCTGGATAAGGTTTCTGTGCGCTGGGCCATTTACCTTGAGGCGTCTCTGGCAATATTGATTTCTGTTTTTCACCGGAAAATGAGCAGTGTGTGCGTGTATATTTAAACTGCTGTCAGCCATGATTCAGGGGCTGATCAAAGCTCCTTCTTTGGGGAATGTTACTTTGCTTGATCGTCTTATTAAATCTGTTATATAATCTGTCTTGTTAAATTTTTATTGAATTGAATAATTGAGGCAGTCAAAGCTTTTTAAAAATGATCAACAATCTTCTGCTTATCCAGATATGGTCAGGAGATGGAATGTTAAAACTTTTCCTTATCTATCCAGGCAGGTTTTAATAACACACTGCCCAGTGATACTTTCATTCTATTTTAAGATTTCAGCAAATTCCAATAAAAATTAGCGCCTGATGTTTGTTTGATATTTGACTTTTATTCCTTGCTTCAGATGCTTTGCTCTATTCCTCCCTGACACATCAATGCAATCTCCAATGTCACAATTGGTTTTAAAAATATACACTATACACAATACTGTGTGGAGCTAAGATAGACGGAGCTGGAAGGTCACAGGATGAAATCCAGCTTGGCTGATCTCCACCAGTGTAAACTTAAGGGTTATATAATTAGTTTTAATATTTCCATAATAATAATTTTTGCATTTGATATAGCGCCTTATCAGGTCGTTGGGGTATCACAAAACGCTTCACTGAATATATTATCAAGTGGATTGACTGTATTTTGTGGGTGAAACGCAGTCAATTGAGCACAGCAGTTATATAATGTCAATGGAATTTCTGATTCTGATCAAAATCTAGGGATCCCAGTTATAATAATAATTTGATACAATGCCTTTCATGTCAAGAGGACGTCTCAAAAGTCTTCACAGAATTTACTATAAAGTGTAGTTACTGTATTTGTGTATGTGAATTTGGCAGTCAATTTGTAGAGCGCAATGTCCACAAACAATCATGAAGTGATTGATCAATCTCTAACATCCCCTTGAGTAGGTAGATGGGACCTTGGTTTCATGTCTCACCAAAAGAGTGGCGGTTCCAACTCCCTCAGCAATTCAGCTGAGATTATGAGCTCAAAGTCTCGATGTGGGGCTTAAGTTGTAAGGTTTATGCGAAGGTTATGTGGTCTGTTCGTCCAATCATTCATTTTCCATTTCATCTTCACAGGTGCTGGAGAATCGGGAAAAAGTACAATTGTAAAGCAAATGAAGTAAGTATCAGCTTTCTGTGCAACAAGCCATGTTGTGCTAAATTGAAGTAATAATAATAATAATCCTTGCATTTGATATAGCGCTTTTCACGTCGAGAGGACGTCCCAAAGCGCTTCACAGAACACACTGTAAAGTGAATTGACTGTATATTTGTGGGCGAACGCGGCAGCCAATTGCGCACAGCAATGTCCCACAAACAGTCGTAGATTGAAAATGACCAATTTATTATTGTTTTTGGTTTTGGAGGGATTATTATTAGGCTCTGTGTGGAGTAAGGAAACTTGCCCAAGGTTTCGCCCTCTGCCTGGAATTGAACTCAGGTCTCTCACTTGCAAAGCGAGTGCTCTAACCACTGAGTAGCTTTGCATATAACCTTCGCATAAACCTTACAAAGTAAGCCTTTCATTGTGCATTAACATGTGCCCTTCACTACAATGACACTAAGTCTCTTTTAAGGCCAAAACAATGGTTAGTTTGAGAAAAGGAGATTTGAATTTGATACCTTGGGTTTCGTCTGAGATTAATGGCAAGGTGTATTGTTTTGGTATCTTAAAGAGAGTGTTATTGTAATCTGTGTACTACCTGACCTAGGCTATTGATGCTCACGACTGAAATGTTAGCACTCCTTTTCTGGGTTTTAACGTCCTTCACCTTGGTTAAGCACAATCTTCCGAAAGCTTGATACCTCTAAGATACACATATGCTTTTAAAGGCAAAGGATGTCAATTCTGGGATTAGAACATGCTTCCAAATCAGCATCTGGTGTTTATTGATCATTTTAGTGTAGCATGATCAGATGCAGACTAAAGCTACTAACCCATCCTAATCAATGTGGGTTTAGCCTAACCTCGTCACTCCTCTTGTACACTAGCAACCTTGTGTCAGGAAGGAGGTACCAGACCCCTAGAGGCAATTCCTGCGAGTGGACTGATGTGGATGCTCGGGTTTAGAGGGATGCGTTAGGAGTAATGTCTTGATGAGCTAGGATACTTTCAAGCAACTGTCAGGGGAACTATTAGAGAGATCTAAGGCTCGAGTGGATTTCATAACATTGTTCTGAGTTTACGGTCAGAATCCCACAAAAAAGGAAAGCAGATGATTGCGGAGGGTTTTTGGAAGTTTTGGATAAAAAGTAGTTATATGGGGAAAAAAGAGTACCAGAAAGGGTGGTCGAGTCCAGTTCATCAGGCACACTTTTAGAGATGGATTGATGTGATGATTGGTATTCTCAAAGGATCATAGGAAATTGTCATGATCTCTTGAGTGTGCCTGAGACAACCCAGACAGATTGTCATTGCGGGAAACCTGGTTGAAAATATCTGAATTGGATTCCCCTCAGAGTCTTACAATAGCAGTGTGACTTTTACCTCATGCATCTGAGGCGGAATCAATCTCAGGCGGCAGGATTGTAGTCCCTGAATGATCAGTGTTTTTTAGAAAGCTCCTATTGTGAATGTCACACAGCATTAGTGCTTTCAAGATCCTCACACCATGTGCAGTGCACTGATGTCAGCAGCGCTCGCTGCCGCCTCTGTGAGATCAGCAAAACAAATATTTCAAGAGCAAACCACAGACAAAATGTTTGTTAGAATACAAGGTAAATAGTTTAGGCTGTTAAGGTGATGGTTATACACTGCTACAGCTTTTCTCTCCTAGATTCATTGCTTGAAATGTATTTTTCTTTCTTTCTTTCACTGTACATTGTCATAAAGGCACCAAAATGGTCATTAGAGGCCCCAAACTCCCAATGGTCTTAGCTTTATACTCGATGATAATAATACTCTGTACATTTGACATAGCTCCTTTATTATTATTATATAATATTTATATTTTAGGCTAAATGTGTATGTTTGTGTAGGGGCTATATGAATCAGATTATATCTGGAAGAAATAATTGGGAAGTGGGCATTGCTGTGTCCTGTGGGAGTGGCATTGTTTGTAAGCATACCTTTGTTTGGATTCCGCAGGATTATCCATGAGCAAGGCTACTCAGAAGAGGAACGCAGGCAGTACAAGGCAGTGGTGTACAGCAACACCATCCAGTCTATCATGGCCATCATCAAAGCCATGACAAACCTGAAGATCGACTATGGAGAAGCTGGCCGGGGGGTAAGACACAGCAGCACTCGCTCTGCCAAGCCTCTGCTGATTTAATCCATATTTCAGTTTCTGGAATTCAGATATCTATAAAGATATCATTATTCCTTTCATTTGAAATATCATGTCGTTGAGACGTCTCAAAGAGCTTTGCAGAAATATACTGTAAAGTGGATTGATTGTAATTTGTGGGTGAAACACGGCAACTAATTGCACACAGCAATGTCACCACAAACAGTCTTGGATCATTGGAAGCCCACATAAACAAACAAACACACACACACATGTGCTCATTTAATTCTCTTTCAGTAGTCACCATTGCACATACCTGTGTGGTCAGGACGGCACAAAATTATAGCACTTGCTTCAACCATTGCTCACCGTGTGCTCATAACAATTCCACAGTGAAGTCATTTATGCTGACAAAGGGTGAGAAAGCTTGTAGCTAAAGTTCCACACATTGCTTGTGTTGCATTGAATTTGGAGCACGTTGAAGATGGCTTAATTCTATTAAAACGTTACCAACCTTTCTGCTCCCTCCATTCAGCAGGCACTGGTCTGCTCCACATTCCCCACCCCATCGTGATCAGACTTTCAGGCTTTCTACCTCCACCCTCTGGAATTCCATTCCAGAGACCCTCACCTCGCCCCTTCCCTTGCCTCCTTCAAGACCCATCTCAAGTCATTCCTCTTTAACTGTGCCTTCAGCCACCCTCCCTTGTTCTCCACCACTCTTGACTCTGACCCCCAGCTCAGGGGCAAAACCTTCACTGTCCAGCACCTTGAAAAGTCCTCACAACGTGAAAGGTGCTATATAAATGCATTCTGTTGTTGATTTTGACGGGTGATAAATAGAAGTACCTTGTTATTATCCTAAGTGGCGAGTGTTGGCATCAACGTGCAGGACCACAAACAGTGTGTATCTGGGCGTTTTTTGTTCTCTATGAAAGGGTAGAAATAGTTCTAACGTTGGAACAACACTGAAGCGTGTTCTAGGACTTTACCTGATGACTAAAAATCAATACATTTGCAGGAAAACCTAATGTTGAGGCATTCAGCTAGTAAACCTGAACTGATTGCTGTTGGGCCAAGGGATTGTTAACATTACTTTGAGCAGGCTTGCGGCTTACTTAGGCAGTGAGTCCCGGGAGACATTGCTGTATATTACAGTATTACATTGTGTTTATCAAGGTCTTTTCAACATGTCCATAAGACAAATGTTCAGCCAGGGAATGCCTATTATGACGGACTGTCAAGCGGATGGATGGTTGGCCTTGGAAGTAGGGGAGAATGAAGCTGCCTCAGTTTCAATCCCTTGACTGAGTGGATTGTATCGTCAACAGATCAGGAGCAGACTCCCTCCCTACCCCTCATCCATGCTAACTGTTTAGTTCATCACTCCAAGGTGCGTGGGAGCAACGCAATAAGGATTTGCCAGCTGCTATGAACCCCAGAGACCCCCATGTAACTGGAGTTAGCAAAAAAGGCAATATTATACAGAGCAGGCAGATCAATGCACAATAACCTGAGCAGTTTGGCAAAGGAGTTGAACATTAGTTTAATAAAAAAAAGTAATATTGCTTCACTTTCTGATGCTTTCTCAATGCAGTGAGGGAGCCCGGTGATTTATACTGCAGTGGGTTTGCCCTCTGTTAAATGGAAGCACCCTGATGGTGAATGTAAGCAGTAGATATTCACACACATCTGCTGCTTCAAAGAGTTTGGCTATTGTTTTTTTGGGGGTGCGGGGATGATCACAATTGCAGGTCTTACAGAACACTCTCCCCCTTCCCTTGTATTATAGTAATAATAATAATCCTTGCATTTGATATAGTACCTTATCACAGACTATATTGCGAAGTGGATTGACTGTATTTTGTGGGCAAAATGCAGCAGCCAATTGCGCACAGAAAGCACTCAAGTGAGTGACCACATTTTTTTTGAGGATTATTATCCCTGGAAAGCAACTCACCAGGTTCCCAGTTACTGCTATGTAAATAAAGGCATGTGGAGAAAGAAAACTTACCTAAGGTTTTCCCAGGTTGTTTTGCTTGCAAGGCCGTTTAAGAATACGCTTCCCTCAACCCCCAGAAGGCAATTGTTTATTTAAATGCGAGTTCTGGGGTTGCATGATAAGTCTTGCTCACAGTGAAGCACAGACATAGCATAAAAGAGGCATAAATTTCAATTAGCTGCCCTTCACCTCTATAAGCACGGGGCTGGCTGCAGCACAAACAATTCACAGCTGGGCTTGAAGTTCCTGATGATGCAGAGATTAGCTGACCTCACCATGACTGCTGATGCTGATTTGATGGACAAGATTAGTTATTTCTGCTTCCTTTCCCCTGCCTGTTAATTAAAGCAGATGTGCAGTGTGTCATGCACACATGCTGCCTTTCCCCCAGTGGACATAGTCTCAGTCAGTACTTCAAACCCACCAGCTCCACTCAACATCTGACTCAATTTGGAAGAGAAACAGTGACTTGGTTATTTACACGTTGTATGTTATGGTTTCTGGTAATGAATATCCTGTCTGGTCTCTGGGGATTAGTGTCTGAGATTTTGAATGCTGCTGAGCTATGTTGTGTTGGTTATGTTTTTACACACAAGTGGCTTGTGTTGGTGGCCATCGCTTGGATCTTGTTCATGTTGTCCGTTATTCCTTTCCCCCTCCCCTTCCCCCATGCCCCCTGAATACACTTGGCAGTAATTTCAGTGAAGGGCATGACACACAGAAGGCTTGGAGGAGCAATTGGTCACTGGGATTCTTCCCACTCACCTTTGGTCCACCCTGCAAAGTTTAAGCTCGATAGTTTCCTGTAGAGTCCGAAAGCGTATTGGTTAGTTCGCTTGTCTTGAAGCGAGAGTACCCAGTTCGATTCCTAGGCAGGGCGAAACGTTAGGCACATTTCCTTACTCCTTACTCTGCTGTTTACCTAGAAACAAGTAGGAACACAGTTGTTAGTCGATTGGCCGATTCACCCACAAATTGTACAGGGAATTAATTTTACAGTATATTCTGTGAAGTGCTTTGAGTCGTCTCAACGGCGTGATGATGATCCTTGCATTTGATATAGAGCCTTTCATGTCATTGAGTGATAATGTCTTTGTCTTTTTCTCTCCATGTGCAAATACCCGACACACTGACCTGAGCTCCCCATCTCCCTTGGCCCCCATCTCACTTTTCTCAAATTCCCAGTCAGTTGTGTGAAATGCCCTCCCAACGTGAATGTTGCTGTATAATTGTAAAATTATTGCTAGTTCCCTATAAATCTGAGAACTGTGAATCTCTGCTGGGGACTGCAATGCCCTGCCCACAATATGGGAGGTTTCTAATGGGTTTGCTGGTTCCTTCATGGTATCTGTTTGTGGGACATTGCTGTGCACAAATGTGCTGTAGCATTTGCCTACAAATGCAGTCATTCCATTTCACAGTAATCCTGTGAAGAACTTTGAGGCAGCCTTCCGACACAATAAGGCGTTACATCAAATGTAAGTATTATTATTATATAGGAGGAACTCTGTCAGTGAATCAAGCTCAATGGAGTAGTGAGGAGATCAGACTGCTGCAGCGTTCACCTACAAAATGCACACAAGTTGTACCATTTTACATTGTATCCTGTGAAGCGCTTTGAGATGTCTCATTAATGTGGTAAAGTGGTTATTAAATGCAAGGATTATTAGAATAATGGAGTTGAGACACGTTGATAGCTGGAGAGGAGAGAACTTTAAATTACCTTTCATCAGGTTTTAATTGTTACTGATTGTGGGGGGGATTCCACCTTGGTCTAGATTTATTGATAGCATTTTAGAGCGTCCACAATTCGGCAAGTGATCTGAAACCCTACATCAATGGAGCAAATCTCTAACTAGGAATTATCTCCTGCTGAGTGCCTCACTGAGAAAAAGGGTTCTGCTTCCGAGCATCAATGCCACTTGCCTTAATTGTCTGCCAATGAATGCCCTGAGGACCAGACTAATTGAATAATTTATTTGAAAGATGCTGGGGAGGGAAGTATGCTGTGGGACATGATGAGGGACCCAGGGTTATCTGTCTGACTTTGTTCTCCGCTCCCTACAGGATGATGCACGGCAGCTATTTGCACTCTCTGCAACTGCTGAGGAACAGGGCATTATGCCTGAGGACCTGGCCAATGTCATAAGGAGACTCTGGGGTGATGGCGGAGTTCAGGCTTGTTTCGGTCGATCTAGGGAATATCAACTCAACGATTCTGCGGCTTAGTAAGTGGATTTCTGCCTGTATTTGTCTCCTTAGTGAAATCACAAGTTTACAGTTGTGGAACTCTGTTGATTAAGCAGAATGGGAACAAAATATGCTTGTTTGATTAAATAATCATACTTTGTCTGTTTGATGTCACGTCATATTTCACGTCATAAGGAGTTATATCGAATAATAATACTTACATTTGATACCACGTTGTTGAGACATTTCAAAGTGCTTCACAGGATGTAAAGTGGATTGACTGTGTATTTTATGGATGTAATAAGGCAGCTAGTTGCTCACTGAAATGTTCCACATTTCACAAACAGCCATGGAGCATGGAGTCTTGTGGTGAATCGGTTAGATCACTCGTCTCAAAGACGAGAGGACCCAGGTCTGATTCCTGGGCAGGATAAAGCCTTAAGTAAATTTCCTTACTCCACACGCCTCAGTTTACCTAGCAGTAAGTAGGACCTGATTTTTAGTTGATTGGCAGATCTCTTTCTGGGGATAATAATCCATTCAAAATAAATAATAATTTGATCACTCGATCCATGATTGTTTGTGGGATATTTCTGTGTGCAATTGGCTGCTGGGTTTCATCCACAAAACATGCAGTCAAATCAATTTACAATATATTCTGTGAAGCGTTTTGAGACGTCTCGGCCATGTCTCAAAGCACGGGTGCTATATCAAATGCGAGGATTATTATGGTGGAGTGAGCGATCAATTTTATTTGGGGGATTGTTGGCCAAGACACTGGGAGAAATTCCCTTCTCTTTTCAAATAATGCCATGGGATCCTTAACGTCTCGGTTTAAGGCCTCATCTGAAGGGTGGCTTCGCCGACAATGAAATACATTGAAGTGTCATCTTAGACCAGGTGATTCCAAGTCTTGACATGCCATTCAAACCTGACTTAGAGGCGAGAGTGCTACCGCTGCGCCAGGCTGACAAATGGAAGTTAAATGTCTTCAGAGTAGGATATTAAAAAAAATGCTTTGGACACTCCTCCGAACATTGTTCATTGGGCACATGCGTTATAAATAGATGTAGTAAAGCTGGAATGATTCCCATTCAGGGTTGGAGGCTAAATGATTCAATATGTGGTTATATGGAAATATTTAGCAGTTCAACATCTGGGAGGCGCTCAAGAGAACTGGGATCTGCAATCCATAGGAAGGATAACTAACTACCATAAATTCCAGATGCTTTGCTATCCAGTTAAATGACAAAAGCAGATAGACTCAGCATTGCCGGTTTCTGCTATGAAACTGAAGAACCTTAGTAGTGGCCGTGCTTTCAGTGAAGAACACTGCATTGAACTGTGCCACAGCTCTTGGTTTATCGGGGAGAAGCAAGGGAGATACCTAACTATGTTTAAACAAAAAAAGTTTCAAACTAAATTTTAAAAACAAAAAGGCAGTGTGACTGGTGTCTTGGGGAAAATGGAAGTGTGAACGGAGCAACCCTAGCAGTGTTGCTGCTTGATGCTGTGACCAGGGAAATGTTTGCCTCCAGGACACATGAGTAGCATGCATTATAACCCTAAACACAACTGCAATGTGAGCGAGAGAGAGCCTCTGATTTTAAGAGCTCACATAACACTAACTGCATAATACTGTGAACTCGGACTTCTGTGGAAATGGTTTAACGCTCATTTGTTCCACATACAGTATGTGTTCGTCTGCTTATGTTTCGAGATGATTTCTTGAAACAGAAGGGAGTTTCTCTCAGGTGTCTGGCCAACAAACCCCCAGATAATCGGTCATTCTCTTCATGGCTGTTTGTGGGACATTGATTTGGGCAAATTGGCTACCGCATTTGTCTACAAAATACAGTTATTGCACTTACAGTAATTTCCCGTGAAATGGTTTGAGTTGTTTTGATTCGGTGCTCTATTTGAATGTAAAGATTGTTATTCATTTACTCCCACTCGGTCCTCTCTCCCACCGCCCTCCCCGACTCCTATTCCTGCTCGACCGTCCCACTGCCTCCCTCTGCTCCAGCCTGCGAATTCTCCGTCGGGCCCACTGTGGGAGTTGCTGCTGGCTGTCTAACAGCAGCCACTCTGACTGCCCTATCCCCTACTCTCGCCGCAAGGCTCACCGGTCACCGACCCCAGTGGCCAACCTCTCCTCCCTGATCCACATCCATACCCTCCCTATCAGTCCCACCCCCCTCCCCTGCCTCACTCCTCACTTTCCACCACCGACTATCTCCTCCCTCAATCTTTCCCTCCACGTGCACTCCACCACCCACATCTGCAGTCACCCCCTCGACCTGGTGATCACTCCGGGCCTCACCGTCTTGGATCTCACCATCATCGACAAAGCGATCTCGGACCATCACTTCATCTCCCTTAACACCTCAATCCCTCTCCCCACCACCACCCAACCCACCTCCATCTCATACCACCCCTGGAAAAAAAATCTCCCCTCCTCCTTCCTCTCGGCTGCCTTGGAGTCACCTGAACTTTTTCCCCTCTGGGCGTCCTCCCACAATGACCTATCCTCCTCGGTCATCCTTCTCCACAGCTCCCTCTCCTCCACTCTCATTCCTTTGCTCCCCTCTCTTCCTGAACCGTCTCCTGCTCACGCAAATCACCTTGGTACACCAGTCACCTCCGCTCCCTTAAAGCCCAGGTGCGTTTCGCTGAGCGCACCTGGCTTAAATCAAACCTGACTGTCCACCGGCAGATGTGGCTGGACAATGTCAAATCTTACCGCTCTGCCCTCTCCTCTGCTAAATCGTTATTCTACTCCAAGACAATCTTGGAGGCTAAGGACAACGCCAGACTCCTCTTCTCCATCATGAACCGACTCCTCCACCCACCTTCTCACACCTCACCCATCCTCGCCTCAAATGCCAACAACAAGGCGATGCTGGACTTCCTCAAATCCAAAGTCAAGGGAATCCACTCAGCTGCAACTGCTTCCCCCTCCCCATCTCCTCCTCCCAGCCCAGCCTTTACCCACCCCTCCCTCCACACCTTTGAACCCGTGCCTTCAGCTCCCTTCTCGACTCTCTTCCCCCTCCTCGCTCCCTCCCTTCCCTCCCCTCACCCTGACCATTTCCCCCCTGCTCGGGTCATGACCCAACTTTGCAGCGCCTTGGGACGTCCTCCTGACGTGAAAGGCGCTTTATAAATGGAATCTTGTTGTTGTTGTTGTCTCCCCCTCCTCTTTCATCACCACCGTAACCCATGTGAAACCCACCACCTGTTCCCTCGACCCCATCCCTACCCCCTCCTTACCTCCCAGCTCCACCTCAGAAACCGCCCTGGTCAAAATGACAAATAATATTCTATCCATCTGTGACCAGGGCATCCTCTGCCTCCTTGTCCTCTTTGACCTCTCTGTTGCTTTCGACACCGCCGACCACTCTATCCTCATCCACTGCCTCTACTCTCACATCACCCTCAATGGCACTGTCCTTGATTGGTTCAGATCCGGACCATCTCCTCGGTATTCCTCAGGGCTCTTTCCTTGATCCCCTCCTTTTCAACATCTGTATGCTCCCTCTTGGTGATATCATCCGCAGACATGGGGTCCACTTCCACATGTATGTGGATGACACCCAACTCTACCTCTCTGCCTCCACCTTTGACTTCAGGACCACTGCTGTCCTGACAGAGTGTCCATCAGATATCAAGTCCTGGATGAGAGATAACTTTCTTCAGTTGAACGCCAACAAGTCCAAGGCTCTCCTGATTGGCTTCCGTCAGCGCCTCCTCACCTCAGGTGCTGACAGGATCACCATCCACGGTTGCACACTCCACCTTGCTAAGCCAGTCCGGAACCGTGGGGTCTTGTTTGACCCTCAACTATCCTTTGTACCCCACATCTGCACCATGACCCGCTCTGCCTTCCCCCACCTCCGCATTGTTGCCCAGCTCCGACATGTCTCACACCGCAGGCCGCCGAAACCCTCATACACGCCTTCATTACATCGAGGCTCTACTGTGCAAACTCACTGGTTGTCGGCCTCCCAAACTCCTCCCTCCACAGACTGCAGATCCTCCAGCACTCTGCAGCCTGTGTCCTCTCCCACACTAGGCTCCGCGACCCTATCACCCCCATCCTTGCCCAACTCCACTGGCTTCCCATCTCACAGAGAATACAGTTCTAGATCCTGGTCCTCACCTTCAAAGCCCTCCACGGTCTTGCTCCCCTATACCTCTCCGACCTCCTACCCACTGCCATCTTGTTCGTTCCCTCCACTCAGCGGGCTGCGGCCTGCTTCACGTCCCCCCCCTTGCTCGCCCCACTTTCTGCCACTCTGCACCCACCCTCTGGAACGCCATGCCACAGTCCCTCCATCTCGCCCCCTCCCTCGCCACCTTCAAGACTCATCTCAAGACCCTCTTCTTCGACCATGCTTTTGATCTCCTTGCTTCACCTCCCCCACCCTCAGCTCAGGTGCATAACTCTGTCTGTCCAGCGCCTTGGGACGTCCTCCCGATGTGAAAGGTGCTACACAAATGTAATTTTGTTGTTATGGTAGTTTTCTTGGCGAGCTTTAAACCCCTTCTGCCCAGGTACCAGCAGAGTATGTGTAAAAGTTCATAGTTTGTAGTAAATTACCAGTCAGGTTCGCAATGTAGCATTTTACTGGCTAACTAATTCATTTGAATAAATACACAGCTTGCCTCTGAGGCCTGACCCTTATACTTTGAAAATCAAAACTTTTAGCCAGGTGCACATTGATCTGAAATGGGAGATGCAGAGCTTGGCACCTTAGAAATTTACAGCACAGAGGAAAGCCCTTTGACCCACCATGTCATTTGAAGAGCAATCCTTTCAGTCCATTTACCTGCCCTTTCCCTATAAGTCTGTAGCTGTCTTCTTTTTAGGTACAGTTTTTATCTCATTCCCCTTGAATGCTCATATGGATCCCACTCTCACGAGGGCATTTTTCTATGCCATAACTAATCTGCGTGAAAATAATTCTCCTAACCTCCCCATTTGCTTGTTCACTAACGATCTTAAATTGAATCCCTCTAGTTACTGACTCTATGA